TTAGTTCAGTCACACAACTAAACAAGAGAAAAACAATTTAATTTTCCAGACTTACAGCTGACTACAAGACTAAGAAATCTATGAATGAATACCCTATAGGCCATTACAGTCCACAATAATAATTACAGTAGTAATCAATGCCGAGCAGGCAGCCAATAACTCCAATCACCTTGACTCCAATGAACAAAATTCCAAAACTTACCAAACAGCTCTACTTGTTTCTCTGCAGTTCCTAGTTTGTTTGCAGCTTTGCACACATACTGTCCATACTGTCTCTTTTCAACCGTGATCACACGGATGGTTGTGTCAGTAAACTCATCGGCAGTAGCAAAATGAGAAATACTGAAAAAAATGTAGATTAGGAAAATCAAGGCTGGCACTATGGAAGGAAATAGCATACAAAAGAAGTGCTTTTAGTTTTGTACCTGTAGTGCTGATTGTTGGACAATTGGATGTCATCCTTGACCCAGACAATTGCGGGAGGTGGGTAGGCCTCAACATGGCACTCGAGATCCATGTCATACTGAAGGGCTTGGCCAAGTCGGGGTCGAGGAACAGTAATTACTGGAGCAAACTCAACTTCAACAGCTATGTTGCGTCTCACACCCTTCTCAACTCCATTTTCAGCAACACAATAATATGTTCCACGATCTTCTTTGCGAATTTGAGCAATTCTCATAACGTTGCCTCTGTGAAGTGATAATTTGAAAAGAATAAGAAATACGTTTTAACATGCTTCATTAAGTTTAGATAGAGTAAAGAAAGACTTACTTGTAAATAGAACCACCAGTTGGCAGAATAGCATTATTTTCACGCCTCCACGATATACGAGGAATTGGCCAGCCATTGGCATAACACTCCAAGCGCACAGGCTGTCCTTCACTGACAACAATTGAACGAGTTGAGTTGTCTGAAATAACAGGGGGTCGTCGAACTTGCAGTTCTACCTCGGCAGAGATTTTGTTGTTTATAGAAATAATGACTTGGCATTGATAATAGCCAGCATCAGTCTCCTGAATATCTTTTATCTAAAAAAAAATAAATTGTTATCATGAGCACTTTAGTTTCCTTCGGAAAATGAATGAAAAAGGAAGAACAAGCAAAGTATCATAGATATTACCTGCAGTGTGTACGTTGAACTCTGTTGGTCAGTACGGATAGCAAACCGGGAGTCTCGAATAATGAGAGAGCTACCAGTTGAAATGGGCAAAGGGTCAGATTGTCTGTAACGGTCAACTTTCATCCACAGAACAGGGTAGTCAGAGGCATAAAGCACAGAACACACAAGTTCAACTGTGCCTCCAATATCCTTGATTTGCTCTTGGGAAATGTAAGAAATCGTTGGGGTTCTCTGAGCAAGAGCTGGAAAAAATGAAAAGAACATGGAAAATCTCAGGGGAGAGTACAGCGTAAAGTAAATGTAACAAAAATATAGCCACAAGGACTTCTAATTTAATACACAAAATCTACAGGTAATGTGGCAAGTGAAATTCAATATTCCAACTGCTAAAATTGACGCAAATTTAGAAATGTCTACAGAAAAATAAATGAAAAAATGACTAAAACAAAAATTTATTGGTTAGGAACCGTTCCCTCCAATGGGCGTTGCGGCCACACCTAACCATTAGTACGCTCTATGGATAGGCAAGGAGAGTCGAACTGGTGTAAGTGAAGGATCACTCGAAACCCAAGTGAGACAGAACCACATTAAAAATGCTACTTACCAAAATTTGAGCAGCATAGCGAGAAAATTAGCAAACAAGCAAGGTGCATTATAGGCGCACCCATTGCAGCGAGTCGTCTTGACAAGCAGGGAACGGGATGTGTCACTGTAACACAAAGCACACGGATTGCGGATTATTCTCACTGACGTAAAACGACCGAGCATACAGCAAACAGGCCGCTTACAATTAAAAAATAAAAATAAACATATTCAGAATGATAATAACAAGTGTTTAAAAACTTACAACAACAAACACGACGTGAGAGTGTAGTAGTGCAAGTGTGAGTGTGCGCAAGGCGTCAACCGCTACTACTGGAGTCAGGAAATTTTAGACGCGTAGACGCCAAGCGAACGAGACGACGAGTTTCCGACTTCACCTAAATTTTATAGAATACTTGAAACATATTTTCCATCTCCATCATTTCGAATTGTTTTCCGTCAGCTCTGTATGAACTTTCGGCTGTCGGTTTTACTGCCAGATCGCTGAAGCGACTCGCGTGGTATAGACACCCGCTGCCGCCAAATTCAAAGCGAGTCGCAGCTTGACCCGTGAGAAATGCATTATCGATAAATGGTCGATCTGCATCGATCGAGGCAAATTCGACTCGACATCGATTTGATTTTGTTCACCAAATCGACGAAAATTCGAAATCGACATCGAATCGACGTCGATTCGAAAGTCCATCTCTCACTGGGCCTCAGAGTGCGACGCCACCCCCCACCCCCCAGAGGACAAAGCAGTGGGAGGGGAAGGAAATTTTTTGGTGGAATATATCAGGAATACTTCTGGAACATTTTTCATGCACATTGAATGTCCAAGTGGCCCACCCCTTGGCGTGGTCTGTTGTACCAGGTGGCTGACTCGCGCTGCGCACTTTCGTGGTTGTACTGTACCGCACACAAGCGTGCGGGCTGGTTTGCCTATTCCCGCTGCTCACGGCTCCTTTATGATGGCTCCGTGCGAGTAGGCAACCCGCACGCACGCGTGCATGCGGTGCAGTGTAACTACGAAGGTGCGCGGCGTGAGTCAGCCACCTGGTATCCACTGAGCTGTACGAAAACCTGAGCCCCGGTCGAGGGGACTGTCTGATTTTTTATCCACGTGGGCTAATTTTTTCTTTGAAGTCCGGAGGCAACTTTTTCGCACTATCGGAGATTTCGAATCGAAAAAAGTCCAAAACGACCCACCCTAATGTTAAAGTCGTTCACCGTGTCCTGCAGCGACATTGTCTGCGACAAGTCGCAGCACCCCCCCCCCCTCCCCGTTTCCACTTCTCTCTCTATCTCGTCTTTTCCACTGAAAACAGTACCTTTCCTCCACAACCAACTCCACTCTGTTTAGCTGAAAACAGTCACACTGTACCTCCTGCCGGCCGGCTCACGACCCAAAGCCCCTCACGACCCATGCACACACACACCCCTCCCCTCCTTGCCCCTCCTTCCACACATCCTCGATTTATCTCTTTCGTCTTTTAACCTCCCTCGTCTCCGTCCTTTGGTTCGTCTTCATGCTCGGTGCGCTCATGCTTGTGGCCCAACTTTCGCATCATGGACCAAAATAGCGTCCCTTAGGTGGGGAGTGGAGAGAGAGAGAGGGAGAGAGAGAGAGAGAGAGAGAGAGAGAGAGAGAGAGAAGGGGGGGGGGAGCGAGAGGGGGATGAGGGTGCGGGGTGGCCGTTTGGCACGGCCCTCCCACCGCGGGCCCCACAGCGCCTCAGTCTCAACCGAACCGCTATCCAATAGACAAGACACTCCCCATCCTGGTCTGATCCAATCGAATTGAAAAGAGGGAAGAAGGCCGAGTATTGAGAAGGAGTGAGCTCAAGGGAACGAGAGACAGAGTCGTGACATTCGCCAGGGCTGCTCTTCAGGTCGGCCGTGTCGTGAAGTGCCGGGGGAAGTCCTCTGTTGTTCGAGCGTCCGCCGCCGGCTCTCCTTTGCGTTGGGTGAGTTCGCTTAAGCCACGTGTGACAAGCGTGGTGACAGAGAACGGCATCGCCAAGGTGTTTTTCGACACAACTTAGCTAAAAGAAATACCCAAGGAAAATATAAATGTATTGTAGAGAAATAATTTGATAGCGAAGTTATAAATGTTGCCATTACATCCTCAAAACCATGACCCATCGTGCCTTGTCCATGCATCACATCACATTGCCCATGGACTATTTCGTACGGTTTGTTAGTCAGGACTAAATTGGTGACAGCTGCCACTTGGTCGATATCAGCCAGGCGCGGATTAAGGGGGTGGGGGGGTGGGGGTGGCGAGCGCCTCCTGTCGTCTCTAGAGAGCCGCCTGAAAGGTGGGCAATTGGCGACACAAAACCCCTGTATGTAGGCAACGGAAAGTGCATCGCCGCCCTATCAGCCTGGACCGGGCTTCATCCGCGCTTGATATGAGCGGAATAACCTTCGCACGAACCTCTGCTTGCACAGTTTGTAGTGTTACATACCGGGTGGATGAATGATAATGTGGTATATGATATTGCTTGCCCTTAGTCTTTAGTCTGAGTCTTTCATACGAAAAGTCACTCATGCAAATGCTTCGTCGACTTTTTGCAGTGTCGACAATAGGCTGCGATGAAGAGTGCGTATTTAGAACGCGATATTTGGAGACAATATGGGTCAGCGGGAAGGGAATGCCCAGCCAGCATCCCGAGGGATCGGCGCGTGATCCGCGCGTCGCCCGGCGGGATCAGCTGGGCAGGGGCCGACGCACGGGGGAGCGGGGAGGGCGTCGGGGAGGGCGCACCACAACACAGCCCCTGGCAAACCACCAACCCAGCTGGCGCAGCGCAAGCACAAAGGCGATTCGAGCACACGTTTGCGCACACCGGCTTTTTGATCGCAAAAGTGCCCCATAGCCCTACCGTGCGGATGTTTTGAAAATAGAACGCTAACTAAGGGGTTACTTTAAGAGAGAATGTCTTAGACCAGATTAGTTGTTTTGAAAGAGTGGTCATTTAATCAAAAAATAATGGGCAATGGACATATTTTAATGAATTTGGTGACGACGTTTAGATAGACATGCTGAATTATTTTCAACCATGCCCTGCAACCTTAGCTCGTACTACCGAGTAAGGCAATGGAAATTTTGAAAATCAACGGAAACCGTCGAGGAAACTTCGTGAATCATAGGTAATCTCGAATATCCAAGATCAATGCAAATCAACTAAAATCTTGAGTGAGCCAAAGTTTCGAGGAGTCTTGGGTAGGCTTAAAAGGGGTTTACTGCCCCCTCGATTTATTTTCTTCCCCCAATTAGAAATTGTATCGGCGCAACATACTGCTCCAACGTGCCACAAATAAAGCAAGCGTCTTGCGTAGGAAGAACAACGTGTAGCTGTTGCACTGAAAGGCCATCGGCCGGCAGGGAGCCCGGGGTCCCTGGCCGGGGTCAGGACCGGGCGCGGGCCGCTCACCTCCGCGGCGTTCTACGCAACGGTTGTGAAGGGGCCCAGCCCAGCGCGGCCCGCCCCGCCCGCCCCGGCGCCCCCGGCCCGCGTGGCTCTATTTTTGTTGTGACGGCCGAACAACCGCGCGCCAAGCTGCGCCAAACCGAGCGGGGCGGGAGGTTTCGCAGGGGTTGCGGCGGCGTGTTGGCGTGCGCTGCTGGACGGGCGTGCGATTTGCGCGCTATTTCGGTGTTTTGACGCGGAAGGGGCGAGCGAGCGCGAGGGCAGAGCCGCGCCGACCGCGTGGTGGTGGTGGTGGTGGTGGTGGTGGTG